TGGATGAAGAAGAACTAGGCTAGCAAATGTGAGGAGAGAAAGAGCACTACAATGTAGTGACTAAAAGCCGATCTACCATCGAATAAGAGGGGGCTGAGCGGCTGACAGCTTAGTCAATGTAGTAGGGTACGGTGCAGCTACCGCGCGACGGTGGGATGGAGTGGAGAGGAGAGAGACTGAGCAAGCAAGTGTGAGACTGAGAAAGAGGCTTAAAGAGAAATGACTGCGGGAAAGAGAATGGGAATAAGCTAAAAAGTAAAAACCCTAACTTATTTCAAAAAAATAAATATTTAAAAAAATAACTTCGGGACAGCGGGTACTCGCCTGAGTCAGAATACGGCCCATGTCCCGACCCCAAATTTCAAGTTTTTAGCGGGTCGGGTACCCGACCCGAACAAATGACAAATATTTTTTCAATTACCCGGCAGTTTTTTTGCGGGTCATCGGGTTTTCGGGACGGGCCAAACGGGTCGGGTATTTTTGAACACCCCTAGGAGGTGGGCTAGAATTAGGTGAGGGAGGAGAAGTCCGCTAGGTTGGGCTGACTGGTGTTCTCAGTGGGCTGGAAGGACTGGGCCGGTCTGCTGGGCTCGCTGACTGTCCAGCGCGCAGTGGGCCTGGGCTGCCAGCATGCTGCTGGGTCTCTTCCTGGGCCGCTGGCTTGCCAGCGTGCGCTGGGCCTGGGCTGTCGGTGTGATGCTGGGCCTGGGCCGCTGGTTGGGCAGTGGGTGCTGGGCTTGGTCTAGCAGCCATGTTGCGTGTGAAGGCTTGATATTGGAACAAGGGGGACGATGTATCGTTGCTCAAAAAATCATAGTCAGTAGAACCAAAAGAAGTAAGGTTTCGATATGGTAGTGTATTTTCATCAAAAACAACATGCCTAGAGATTATGATTTTATTTGTAGAGATGTCTAAGCAACGGTATCCTCTATGTTCTTTTGGGTAGCCTAGGAAGACACATGGGGTTGATCGGGGTGCAAGCTTGTGTTTGGCCGTAGCCGAAAGATTTGGAAAGCAAAGGCATCCGAAGACTCTGAGATGAGTGTAAGAAGGGGTAACTCCAAATAGAACTTGAGGAGGGGTAGAGTTGCTTATGGCTTTGGAAGGCAAAAGATTTAAGAGATAGGTTGCCGTCTCAAGGGAATAATGCCATAAAGTCGGGGGAATGAAAGCATGAAACAACAAAGTACGATTAACATTGTTAATAGTACGAATTATGCGTTCGACTTTACCATTTTGTGAAGAAGTGTGAGGACAAGAGAAGCGAAAAACCAAACCATTGTTGACACAAAATAATTTGAACGGATCATTATCAAATTCGCGACCATGATCGCTTTGAAAGGATTTAATAGGATGTTCAAACTGAGTGAGCACATATTGTCGAAAATTAAGGATGGTTTGAAAAGCTTGAGATTTATAAACAAGAGGAATTGTCCACACATAATGAGTGAAATATCTAATAAAACTAAATAATATTTGTGTTCTTTTTCACTACGAATAGGAGAAGTCCACAAATCAGCATGAATTATGTCAAAAGCAAAATAAGTAGTACTATTAGAATCATAAAAAGGCAAGCGAGTGTGTTTTCCCAATTGACAACCTACACAAGTAGTGGAGTTACTCTCCTTATTACAATCAATTAAATTATTATTCCTAAGAAAGTTCACAGTAGGTGCTCCTGGATGACCTAAGCGGTTGTGCCATGTGGAAGGTGATAAAGCTGTGAGTGATGAAGCTAGACAGGTTGATGGTGGTTTCGTGACTGGATAAAGGTCCTCCACACTATTGCATCTGGTTATTAGCCTCCCCGTTCGTAGATCCTTCTAGAGAAACCACTAGGGCCAAATTCTATAGACACAGAATTATCAGAAGTAAATTTGCGAACGGAAATTAAATTTTTAATAATTTGAGGGGCTAAATAAACATCACGAAGGGATAGGGATTTATTTGCAATACTAGAGTGACCAAAACCCGTAATTGGAATGCGTTGACCGTTTCCCACTTAAATAAAATTATTAGTGCTTAAATTAAAAAGGGGTAAGAGATTACCGGCATTGTTGGTCATGTGGGAAGTGGCTCCGGAGTCCATGTACCAAGACGGATCATAGTTTTGAAGACTCATTGTTGCAAAAGAATTTCCGAGCTCGGTGGGAGTCATTGTAGACCCGTACTCCGACCCTTGTGGTTGATAGGGCTGCTGTTGTTGCGAATGTGGCCCAGAGAGTGGGGGTCGTCTCTGCTGTTGGGCCGTGAACCCAGGTCTGGGAGGAGCCCACTGTTGCGGGTATGGGCAGGGGCATAGCCCCATTGTGGGGCTTGTTGTTGTTGGGCTTGGTTATTACCAGCCCACGACGAATTACCCCAAGAAGGAGCCCCCTGCTGCTGTTGTGGCTGGGGTTGCTGCTGCTGTGGAGTCGTTCCCCGACCACGGCCTCTGCCCCGGCCACGGCCGTGGCCCTTGCTCCGACCACCTGCGCCGCCGCCCCTGCCGGCTGTTGGGCAGGGGTTGCGGTGTTTGTTGCAGTGGACGCCGAGTTGGTGGTTTGAGCCACAAAGGATAAGGCCGAGCAGTGATGTCATTAGCACGCCTCGATTCCTCAAGTAACAAGCGAGAACGAGCAACTTCGAACGAGGGAAGAGGGTCAGTTTGCTGTATCATAGCAGCCACCGTATCAAAGTCGGTGTTGACGAGCTCGGAGACCAATCGAATAACCATCTTCTGTTCCGACATCGGTTGATCAACATTAGCTAATTGATCCTTTAAGTTCTTCAATTCTCGGCAATATGAAGAAACATCTGAGAAATTTGAGAGATGCAAGGCATTCAATTGATTTTCAAGGTAGACGGCTCTAGTGGTTTTGTTGTCTTGAAAAATAGCCTTGAGTTTGTCCCAAATTTGTTGTGCCGAAGCCCCTTTTTCTAACACCGTTTCCAGCAAGTCCTTAGAGATGGTGCCATAAATCCAGTTCTTGACCACCGAGTCAAGTCTTTCCCACATCTCCTCCGATAAGTTCGTCGGTTTAGCCGTCTTAGAGTCTATATGATCGAGAAGGTTGAACGCATGAGCATGACACTCAAAGAGTTCAACCTAGTTAGAGTATTGAACTTTCTCCCGATCAAGAATAAGAGGTATAACATTCTTGATGTTATTGACACCAAAGGCAGGATGATAGTCCGAGGAAGAAGAAGAGGGAATATCGTCATCTTTACCCATGAGAACAACAAATCAAAAAAACAGAAAACAAATTGTAAAGGGAATTGATAAACGTTGGGAAAGGATGACAGGGAGCACCAAGGGAATTGGAGGGGATTGAAGAGGCTGGCGTGAAAAAGTGAATAACAAGAAAAAAATATTATTGCGGAAGCTAGATCGTAACCTAAAGCTGTGACACCATGTTAGATACTGTAAACTCCTTAGATTAGAGTGTATTCCATTGATTCAAATATATAGGGTTACAATCATGAGTCCTAATCTTGTTAGGAAATCTCAAAAGATATTTACAAAATATTCACAAAATATATCCTTCTATACAGAATATCGACAGAATAATTATCATATTCTATCACAGTTAAACAAGCTAAGTGTCTATCATTAAAAAAATAAATTTAAAAAAAATCATAATGAGAGGTTAAATTTATAACAATTCATGACAAATCTATTAGCGTGTCTATCATAAAATAAGTTTGATATAAACATATTATTCTAACTATAAGGGGAAATAAAACAAAATATATCCTTCTATACAGAATATCGATATAATAATTATTATATTCAATCACAATTAAAGAAGCTAAGTGTCTATCATTAAAAAAAATAAATTTTAAAAAAATCATAATGAGAGGTTAAATTTATAACAATTCATGACAAATCTATTAGCGTGTCTATCATAAAATAAGTTTGATATAAACATATTATTCTAATTATAAGGGGAAATAAAAAAATAATTATTATTTTCAAAAAAATAAATGTTAAGTTTCAAGTGTTTTTAGAGTTTGTAGTGGGAAAAAAAGTTGTGTTGTATTCTTTAATATTTTTTTTTATTAAAAAAATATTTACAAGAAGAAGAAATAAATTGTGTTCAAGTCATCATATCATTGTGAGTGGTTTATTTGATATTATTAAATATATATGATTAGTTTAATGTGTATTCAATTTTAAATTTCTGTGAAATGAATTTAAATATTAAGATTTATAAACTGTACCAAACTTTATAGAGTTTAGCCATTAATCTATAAGAAATATCTTGAATATTGATTTATTAAACGCGGGTCTGGGCCACACCCGCAAATTAAGAAAAAGTCCACTTCACTAGTCCAAGGAGGTTCCATCCCAAAATTATATGGCAATAGGAGGAGTAGCCCCTTAGCCTTATAAAGTGTTTAATTCTCTCTTCTTCAACCAATGTGGGACATTTACATGTGGTGACACTTGAGAGCTTTATTCTTCAACATGATTACTAGTAATTCATTTCAATCTATATTAATTTTTTTTAAAAATCAATTTTTAAAGATGACCTATTTTGTTCAGCTCCTATTTTCCTTCTCTCATAAACAATTCATTTCATTTCTATTCAGTTCAGTTCAACCCCAAGCAATTCAGTTCAGTTGTCTTTAGTAAATCGAAAGTTTGGAACAGAACCTAGGAGATTGTATAAAGTTAAATGTAATGATCTATATATAATGTGACAACTAATTTCAATTTAGGCCATATCATACAAGTTTTCGCCTCTGTGGGCTCCATCCTACGATGGTCATTTTTTATTTCCAATATTGGCCCCTTTATACTTAAATCATTAAATGATTACTTGTATAATTAAAGTGGGTTGATTATACAGAAAATAATTCAATACCTAGAGGCTTTGCTAGTGAAAATAGTATTGCACCAAGATGGCATAGGTTAAAGGCTAGATGACATTAATCTAAATGCAATTTCAATGAATTAGAAAAAAATTAAATGCTCAAAAGAAGCTATATTATATAGACAATATAGACAAGAATAATTGAAAATTAAATCAAATTAAATGCTCAAATGAAGCTATATTATATAGAGGCTTAACTAGTGAAAATAGTATTGCAGCCTTCCTTTATTTCAGCTGTTGAAGTAACTAAGAAAAACAGGAATACAAGACTTCAACAACAATAATAATCTGTGTGTTTTCTACAACCATGCAGGATCCTTCAAAGGTGTAACAACAGACTTGACTTGCAAGTAGTTCATGAGACAGTATATACCCTTCTCCCTTCCTTGTCCACTCATCTTGTACCCTCCAAAGGGGATGGCTGCATCGAATACATCGTAGCAGTTAACCCAAACCGTGCCTACTTTGAGAGCTCGAGCCAAGTAGTTAGCTGTGTCGATGTCCTGTGTGAACACTCCTGCTGCCAATCCGTAGTGTGTGTTATTGGCTCGTCGAGCCACCTCTTGTATGTCCCTACAAGTAAATACATCTCAGGGTTGGTCATAAAAAATAATTTAAGGTTCTTAGATTAGTTGCTAGTGTAAATTAAAGATGCTCACTTGAATTTTAAGATGGACTGAACAGGACCAAAGATTTCATCTTGTGCAATCAACATGTCTTCATTGACATTTGAGAAAACAGTAGGTTGAATGTAATAACCCTTTGAGCCTAATTTTTCTCCTCCTGTTTCGAGCTTAGCTCCACTCTCGATACCTGATCTTATGTATTGCATCACCTTCTCGAATTGCTCTGAATCAATCTGAGGCATTCCAGAGAAAGTGAGAATTTCATAATAAAAACAAGCATCATGCATTCAACATGTTAAGGTTCTGGCCTATAATATATAGGAAATTATGCAAATGTATTTACTTATGATCCAATATTTTTGCCAATTTGTTTACCTGAGGCCCCTGCTCAATGTCCTTCCTAAAAGGATCACCAACAACACGCTTCATAGCACGTGCCTTTGCTTTCTCAACAAACTCATCATATATGCTTTCATGTACATATGTACGAGAACCAGCACAACAGCATTGTCCCTGAGAAAATAATGGAAATGACCCTTGAATAAAATTCTGTGACATGACCCAATAAACCTGGACTAATTGATGAAAGGCGACTTACCTGGTTGAAGAAGAGAGCAAAATGGGCTAGTTCCACTGCTTTGTCTATATCAGCATCCTTGCACACAATAAAGGGAGATTTCCCTCCAAGCTCCAAAGTCACCGGCTTTAAATTACTCTTCGATGCCATCTCAAGCACTAACTTTCCAGTCACAGTTGATCCGGTAAAAGCCAGCTGCAATGCAGAAATGTTATGTTAATGTACATAAGATCAGTACTAATTACAGTCTGGTGACATTATCTTGGAGATCCATAACTGACATTTTGAATCATATAAGAGAAAAACTTAAACAAGGTGCTCATTGTTACCTTATCGACATCCATGTGAGAAGCAAGAGCTCCACCAGCAGTAGGACCATAGCCAGAGACCACATTTATGACACCATCAGGAAGTCCAGCCTGCAGCAAAACATATTAAGATCAGCAAACTTCAATCCATATACATGTCCTTTATATAACTCAAAAAGTATGATGATCCACAGTTTCTTTCTCGCTTTTTTGACTGATTAATTTAGATTCAACACTTGCAACACACAACCAAGCTTACCAAGGTAAGATGTATTAGACTATTAGTATGATGATCAGATCATTTTATCAGGAACCTAATTAAGCCTATTAAAGATGAAATATTTCTGCAGTATAATCATCAGTGATTTAACTCTAATCAGTAGTACTTAGCTTGTCCATTCTACCATTTTGAAGTCCATAAAATCTATTACAGAAAATATCTGAAGCGAAACAAGTTGGAATAGATTAAAAGAGGCACATATTTGGACTTTTCATTGTGTAAGTACCTCTTGGAGTAACTTTGCAGCATAGATTGCAGTTAATGGTGTTTGTTCTGCACTCTTCAAAACAATGGTATTCCCGCATGCTAAGGCAGGCGCAACCTTCCACACAAACATGAGAATCGGAAAATTCCATGGGATAATCTGCCCTGCTACCCCTATGGGTTCATGCAGGGTTTGCATTTGATATGGTCCATCAGCAGGAACAGTTAGACCATGTATCTTATCAGCCCATCCTAAGAAATTCCAACATTGAACAATTGTCAAAACAAAACCCAAATTTCATTTTTCTTAAACCCAAATAGCTTAGCTTATTTCAATACCTACCAGCATAATATCTCATTAGACGAACACACATTGGTAATTCGGCTTTAGCAGCTTGCTCATATGGCTTGCCATTATCCCAAGTCTCAAGAGCAGCTATCTCATCAGTATGCTGCTCAAGTAGATCAGCAAATTTGAACAGAATTTTTGACCTTTCCTGAAAAATGAAAACATAGACTTATTAACTGCTGTTTTTCTGTGGCCTTATTAATATCAATATTAATGCAAGAAGCTAGCTTATTACATAAGCAGTCATCTTAGGCCAAGGCCCTTCATCAAATGCTTTGCGAGCAGCAGCAACTGCACGATTAATATCCTCAGCATCACCCTCAGCAACTTCTGCAATCACATTTCCTGTCCTAGGATCGTATGTTTTGAATTTTTTACCTGAAACAGATGAAGAGCTGTTAATCATCATGGCATCAGCAATCTTTAGTAATTTTCTCGTCTGATTAATCATCATTAGGAGCTTAATAAAAACACACCTGATGCAGAATCCACAAATTTTCCACCGATCAGAAGCTGAGTATATTTTACACTCACAGGCGGCGTAATAGGATCCTCAGTGGCAGCAGCTGTGCTGTATCTGCTCACCACTCTTCTGCAGTGACTAGTCCTTCCTGAACAATTACAGAAGCTTCAGCATCAGTCTTAAACAAAAGAATACTGTGATTAAAATACCATACATTTGAAACAAATGGAGTATTGACATAAATTATGGGTGCATATATCTTGAAGTTTTTCTTACATGTTTTCACAACACTTCTAATTAAAGTGAATGTTTATTATAAGCTTCACTAGTCAATTTACAATATAAAATGTTGTTGCATATATAGCTCATTGCAATTTACAAGACTAAATTAAACTTTCTCCATTTCATAAAACAAGACATCTATATAAATATTTGGAGATCATCAGGCTATGATAATTATTTGATATAATCTATTGATATTTAATAAATTAAGCCTTCTGGTGTTAACGTATTCTTTGACCACCTTTCGAAATGTATCTTTAACACTGTTGCAAGTAAAAGAAAACAAAAGAAAAATTACATACGTTGTAGCTCAGTAGCATGGATCTTTATTAGCCATGTGACAACAAATATAAAAAGCCAAAACTATAATATTTTAAGGTACAACATTCAAAATACACTGTTGTCTGTTTAACAATTTTATAGACGTGTGCTATTTGCGGATTTAATTCAGAGCATAAAAGCTAAGAAACTGTAACAAACTAACAACAATAGATCTCATCTAACATTCTCACTTACCCCTACCCCATACATGAGCAAAATGACACTACAATAATATTTTTGTGAATGTCAACTAACTTAATTACTTACAGGTTAAAGATGGTATTCAAAACCGGGGATCAAATCCAGTCTACATCTCTACCTTTTGCCATTGGAAAACGGAACGAAAAATAAATATATATTGAGCTTAGAAAGTACCATGTTGTGAAAGGGAACGGATTGAAGAAGAAACCAATGTGCGAGATAGGAAAGATGAGATCTTTTGGCTTGCCATTTTTCACTTCCTTTTTTCCTCTGTTATAACACACAAAACTAATTAGCATAAAAATTAACAAAAAAAAGAGTGGAAAGAGAGAGAAAGAGAGGACATTAGCAATAGCAACCCACCACTTGAAGTAGTGTAGACACCAAAGCAAGAACATTTTGAATTCTGATTAGTGATCACTTTATATAGAAAATGCTGCTATAACTCCATCTACTTCCATTAAATAATATTTTAAACTATCGATTAGTGGAAAACGCTAAATAACAGCTTAATTTTATACTCTATTTATTTTATACTATCGATCAATTAAAATATCAATGTATTATTATTTGTTCGCTTAGGATTTAATTATTACGGAGTAATATCTCTAAAAAACTTGTGCATGATCTTATACGATACTTATCTTTGTTGGGTCGGTAGGTCTAAATGGCTATTAAAATATGCGAAAGGAAGACTGATTGGTAGATAGCAGATAGTAAACTAGTATTCCGTACTATTATATGGTCAAATAATGCTCAATATTCTCTTTAGGTGGTACCTTGGACATTGTTTTAATTAGACCACCAACATGTATGATATAAGGAAATCAAAAAGGATATCAACTACTTCGTCTGCTTGTCACTTTACATCAAAACCCAGATGATTATACATTATTTGATTATTTCTAAATATTTGGAAGTTGTTAATTAGACACATGGGAAAAGGAAGAGAGTAAATTACTAAATAATGCAACTTGCGAAAAAGATACGTTAAAAGAACCCAACTCAACCAAAAGTTGATAGTTGAAGCCCAGGATCGTTTTATATAATCTATCATGTCCACTCACATGAGAGTCCATTGAGTTTGTACTGTGGATATAGCATGGGCCCTACCATACCTAGCGTTTAATAGTCCATTTTAAAAGGAGGGGTGGATGAGATTCGAACCCGTAATCTTTGTGTCATGCGGGCTCTTGATACCATGTTAAAGAACCAACTTAATTAAAAGTTTAACGGATCGTTTTATATACTCTATCAAGATATGGGATAAATATCTTAGGGCCAAGGCCAACAAGGAGTGATCTCGTGAACAGAATTTACATGAAGACTTACCTTTTTTTAGGGGAAATATTCGATTGGGTATACCTTCACTTTTTGAAGTTTCAAAAACAATTTTACAAACATGTATTCAACATGTGCTTTTGTCATCCAACTATACACTTAAAAAATAAAAATAATAAGTAAATGTTGAGAATTTGAGATGTATGTTGAAAAAAAAAAAAAAAAGTACATGTTTATGCTATAGACAAAATTGCTCATTATTCTCAACATCTGAATTTGCAAATAAAAATACATATGGAGTATCTTTCCTGATGATTTGCCAATTGACTTCAACATAACGAAATTGCTCAGTTAATTTCATACAACAAAGACAATGAACCACAAAAATACAACTAAAAGGCACAAAATATGTGCTATTTCTTGCAGACAATGGATAATCTTTTAGAACAAAAGGGAAAAATTCTATAATTTGTGTGTGTTTTTACAGCCATGCAGGATCCTTCAAAGGAGTAACCACAGCCTTGACTTGCAGATAATTCATCAGACTGTAAATTCCCTTCTCCCTTCCTTGTCCACTCATCTTGTAACCACCAAACGGAATGCCTGCATCGAAGACATCAAAGCAGTTCACCCACACCGTGCCAACTCTTAAGGCCCGAGCCAAAGTATTAGCAGTGTCTATATCCTGGGTGAAGACTCCGGCTGCTAGCCCATAGGGTGAAGCATTGGCTCGTCGAACCACCTCTCCAAGGTCCCTACATAATAGATGATGAGACAGGGTATTTAGTAATAATCCTATCATATTGAAAGAATGACAAAGGGACAGAATATATGGAAAGAGTGAACTCACTTGAACTTCAAGATAGACTGAACAGGACCAAATATTTCATCCTTTGCAATCAGCATGTCTTCATTGACATTGGAGAAAACAGTGGGTTGTATGTAGAATCCCTTTGACCCTAATTGTTCTCCTCCTGTTTCAAGCTTAGCTCCACTCTCAATACCGGATCTAATATATTGCATCACCTTCTCAAATTGTTCTGAATCGATCTGAGAAACTCAAAGAATAGTGAGTTTTTCAGAAGTCCTCCAACTAGTGTAAAAAGGTGTAGTTTTAAATCAATTTACATATTGCATACCTGAGGACCTTGTTCAATGTCCTTCCTGAATGGATCACCAACAACACGCTTTATGGCACGTGCCTTTGCTTTCTCAACAAACTCATTGTATACACTTTCATGTACATATGTACGCGAGCCAGCACAGCAGCATTGTCCCTGCAAAAATGATCATATCTTATGAGTATATATGCATACGGAGTATGTGTTATGGCAAAGCATAAAAGTAACAGACTAAGTAACTAAATGTTGTTCCAGTAACCTGATTGAAGAAAAGGGCAAAGTGAGCGAGTTCAACAGCCTTATCTATATCAGCATCCTTGCACACAATGAAAGGAGATTTCCCTCCAAGCTCCAAAGTCACCGACTTTAGATTACTCTTTGCTGCCATCTCAAGCACCAGTTTTCCAGTCTCAGTTGATCCAGTAAAGGCCAGCTGCAACAATACAACGCGAAGTATATGTCAGATAACAGTCCTAGACAGTAGACACAAAGACACTGCATAACTCTTATCTATTGTGTCCTGCATGCTCATAGATGGCAGGATACGGTTAATATAGCCTTTCTGCATATGGGGTGCTTATTAGTCATTACCTTGTCCACATCCATGTGAGATGCTAGAGCTGCACCGGCAGTAGGGCCATAACCAGAAACCACATTTAGAACACCATCAGGAAGTCCGGCCTGCCGCAACATTGATACAAAGTTTAATCGAGTTAAGTTTCATTTCATCTATGTGATAAAACAATTTAAAGCAAATTAAGTTTCATCTGTAAGCAACTATGCAACATAGATTTTAAAAATGGTTTAGCTCTGACATTATTTGGATCACCTGCCTTAATCCTATATTATACTATCCACTCTAAATGAATCTTTTCTGTGTTCATCTAAGTAAAGGAAACCACTCGAGAAACTCTTTATAGTGTCATATAGATGATGAACAGGACCAAAAAGACCAGGTAGATAATAGTACCTCATGGAGAAGTTTTGCTGCATAAAGGGCAGTCAATGGTGTTTGTTCTGCAGTCTTCATAACAACGGAATTTCCACAAGCTAATGCAGGCCCGATCTTCCACACAAACATGAGAAGAGGGAAATTCCATGGGATAATTTGTCCTGCTACACCTATGGGTTCATGGAGGGTTTGTACATGATGAGGTCCATCAGCAGGCATAGTTAGACCATGTATTTTATCCGCCCATCCTGAGGAATTTGAACATACAAATCCGTTAGGAAACACAAATACAAGTTTACATTCCATAAAACAGCTAAGATAGCACCTATTTTACACCCACCAGCATAATATCTCATTATGCGAGCACACATTGGTAGTTCGATCTTAGCAGCTTGCTCATACGGCTTTCCATTGTCCCACGTCTCAAGGGCAGCAATCTCATCAGTGTGCTGGTCAAGTAGATCAGCAAACTTTAACAGGATTTGTGATCTTTGCTGTACAATGATAAGGCTGAGAGTTAGCTACACAAAATATAGGAGCTAGCTTCAGAGAAAGAAAAGAGGGAACAATACTAGCAAATTACATAAGCAGTCATCTTAGGCCAAGGCCCTTCATCAAAAGCTTTGCGAGCAGCAGCAACTGCGCGATTGATATCCTCAACATCACCCTCAGCAACCTCAGCAATCACATTACCTGTTCTAGGGTCATTTGTCTTGAATTTTTTACCTAAATCACATAGCAAAAATGTTGTATTACCTTGAACGCGGATGAAATTTAATCTATTGATTCATAGTTCAGTGGAAATCTCACCTGAAGCTGAATCCACAAACTTTCCATTGATTAACAGCTGAGTATATTTCACCTTTACTGGTGGAGTGATGGGTTCCTCGGCAGCTGCAGTTGTGCTGTATCTGCAGACTACTCTTCTCAACTGACAAGCTCTCCCTAAGAAGCAAATACAGATACTGCAGCATTAGCCTTGAACAAATAATTGGAACTGAAGCATTTAATTTCACAAGTTAATTCATGATAAAACAGATGTAGTACACCTTAATACAAAGACTAATAAGAACTCTAAGTTCAATATAACTTTTTTACGATGTCTTTAGATTACTTCCTCCGTTCTTCAATTAGTGCAACATTAGGTTTATAATACGTGCTCAAATTAGTGTAATCTAATTCTCTAATCCCCTCGAACCACTAACCGAAACATGTGAATTGGTATGTAATGTAATGTAATACATTGCAATGGTTAACTTATAGACTAGTGTAAGCGTGTAGCAATAGTAGGTAATGAATTGAGTTCCCAAACCCAATTTGTGTCCCAAGAAACTTTGACCCTTTTTGCTACTCTAAGGATCCATTTTCCTTCAACTTAATTTATCTCATTTTGTCTTATTTCAAACAATTCATAACAGTTCAAACAAGTACAGAAAGTTCAGACAAAATAAGTTTGGATAAAATAATAAGTTCCGAAACACTCACATATAACTTTTGCTATAGTGAAAATAATTTCAAATATAAGTCAATAGTAAAAGTTTAAACGAGTAACGATGTTATAATGAAATCTAGTTAACAACTAGAGGAACAACATTAGCAGCAATAACATGTCATCTTATTGATCTCATCAAATATATATATTTCTAAAGAGTAAAAGTACCTTGAGAAAGAGTAGAACGAGTTGAAGAAACCAATGCTCGTGAAAAAACAGATGAAATCATTTGACTAGCCATATTATTGCACTCTCTTTTCCTTTGTACTTAGCCATTTGACTTTCTGTCTAGTGACCTTATATAGATAAACTTCTGCCTAGCTTCATTATTAATTAATTAGCTAATTAATAAACTATTCATCAGATTAAGCCTACAATTAGAAAGTGTTAGATATTACCCTCATATTAAGATAAGTGTCATTCTTGAATTAATGCATTTAAGTTTTTATATTGTGTGCACATCTACGAGATCTAACTAATTATTAATCAATTTAATAATTTTAAAAAAATATATATCAAGTCATTCCATCGAGTGGAATACCTAAAGAAGTTCCTATAGGTACGGATAAATACCACGTAGAGCTCCCCTCCTGATTTCAGGTAATCCTAGAATCGATCCTCATCACCCGCCCTTGTTTGCTCTCTAAAAAAAATAATAATACTCCAACTATATAGTATTTTTAAGTTTTTAGCCAAACGACCACTGAATATAAATACATCTATTTGATTGAGTGCCAAAAAATGCACATAAAAGTTAGCAATTGAAGCAAACCCGGGAGTTTAGGAGAAGAGATCACATTGTGATACACTTCACATGGGCCACATGGTAACCCTAATATTTTTCGATATTCAATTAATAGCGTGGCTCATGTGATAGACATTATTTTGATTGTTGATTAGGCCTAAAATGGAGTATTATTTTTACAAATAAATCATAACAAATTACAGAAATTGAAATAGTTGCTTTCAGTTTCAGAGGAGTAAGAGAGAACAGAAGTAGAGATTTACAACAAAAATAATTAAATAAGGATTTCTCCGCAAAAGATTGTATGTAACCTTCTAACTAATTAGGCAATAATAATAATGTAGTTTTGTCAACTACAAGACAAGAAAATCAATATATGTACTTACAAGTTACAATAGTCGCAATTCATAATTTGTTTTACAAAGTAGAGATACCAAACATGGAGAAATGATATTCAACAATGTATACATTATCGTCATAGATTCACAACCTGCAAGGGCTGCAAGCCTGCAACTAAGCGACGTTTACACAATATTCTACCCGTTTACACAAAAAATTGCCTTGGCAGTTGGCAAATCCACTACCCTTTAAGTTGTTGGTGGTGACACATTTGAGCCTTGTCAAAACACTTAGTTGGATCGGGTAAATGTCAAGTAATTTGGGATTATTTTTGGGCTAGATAATTTTTATAACAATTCTGGAATATTACAAAGTATATCATCGCTTATACTCGATTGTGAGTTTGTGAATTGTGACATTGTGAATCGCTCGGTTGGGTGACTTGGGTCAAAGGCGCATTTACCATTTGGCAAATATTTTGATGCGAACTTAGCATCGCATTAAAATTTAGTAAAATTTTCTCAAAACAATATTGTAATTACCATACTGCTGAGATGGTCGAAATACAAGTAAATAATTATTACAACAATTTTTATTAATTACAGTAAATATTAAGGTGCATAAAGTACAATAAAACCTTTTTTTACAATAGTAATGTCCCTGTTTAAATATAAGATACTGTAATTATTGTGTCGAACTAAAATCTGAAGTATATACAGTCATCAGACGACTTTCTATGAGATTGACCCAAGAGATTATCCAGATAAACAATTTTATCACAATAACTAATACATACTCAAATGTTCATGTAGAATATCCCCCACTTTTCAATTACTACTCATTTTAAATCATAATAGAGCTGTAATGGTAGTATTATAGTCTGTAGAAAACATTGGTAACATGATATTATAATTTCTTATATAATTTCTACAAATTATTTGCAATTATTAAGTATAATTGCTGTGATTGAATGATGAATTAGTTTCTAATTATCAAACAAACATTTCATTAATGCCTGTAGTTTTAGGTATTACTGCGCCAGACTGCTGATTGCATATTTTAGTATTAGGCCGTGTTAAGTCACTACCAAAAAATATTGATTCATAATGATATGATCCATAAAACATGCATTAGATGACTGAATAAAAGATTCATAGTTAAATTTATATTAACCAAAATAAGAACTACAAACCTAAGAAGTAAGCCATCCACAACCCACTTTCTACTGCCCTGCAAGACTGCCTGCCTGGATCGCAACCACCAGATCCACCAGCCACCACATTCTCTCACCACCTTCATTTTCTCTCTTCCCCATCACATAACAATGTTCAGTCTCTGATCCTGAGCTAACCATCCCAATCATGCCCAAAGCCCCACATGACAAGTTATTGTACCTCAATTGTCTCTTCATTCTCAATATGACATGGGGTTTCAGACAACCAGCTTCGATAAAAACAAAGGAGAATAGAACGTTGACTCCTTTGTGTCACAGTACTCTCTCGATCACAGATCTAAATTTTCAGCATGGACTTGAATTACTTCATAAACATAGATCCCTAAACTAACATGAATCAACCAAAACTTGTAGAAATTATTTTCATGAACATAATTTTTATACTTCTTGGCAATTCAGGTTCAAAATATGTTTTAAACATAGTGAGATTCATAAAGTCATGTACATGTGCTGAAGATAGACAAATTAGATTTTTCTACCTCGAAGATAACAATTGCTACAAAATTTTGCAATCTTAACCTGGTAGCTTAATGTTACACTGATAGTTGAGAACATTTGTTTGAGGATGTTCAATTTCCATAGTAAACTTGCACTCTCCATAAAGCACTAAACTGATACGGGCAAACATTTGAATACCTGTGGAAGCTCATATTCTACTCAAGTTACTCTTGATTTTTGAAAATGTGCCTGTTTCAGAAAAATATGTACTCTGAGTTCCACTACCAAATTGATGTGCATGAGCCTGAGGATTTGAAAGTTCAATGCCCTGCATGAAAGGTACAACAGAAATTCAACATCAGCAGCAAAATTTTAATCAAAACTCACAAGGAGTGTTTTCCATGAAAATTTCCCAATGACCCAATGGTAGATAAAAACATCACAACCAAAATAATTTTTACACTAAATGACTGTAAATGAAACTGAAGCTGTTCAAACAATCTTTGCATAAGACTATAGTAAGGGAAAGACAAAGTTCAGTTTTATGGATCTACGATACATGAGCATTCTATGTTGCCTAGAGAAGCAGACAGTGAAGTGGAAGAAAATAGACTGACCTCTTCCTTTCCACATATAACTTAAGGGTGCTATGGTTTTTTGGCGAGTGTCATGGTATGGGACTATGGGAGCATTGCATAAGCAATTTCCAGTTACAGTGTTACTAAAATCTATAAATAGCACCCAAAGAAAAGCAGATGGGAAGTGATCTGGAATTATCCCTATTACATCATCCAACAATTTGTTTTAACCATGTAAGCACATAGGAATACCCCCCCCCCCTCTTAAAGAGCAAAAGATTTTAGTATGTGTTGACAAGAGACAAGACCAGTGTCTAAAATTTCATCCTAGGGTGTGCCCAATGCCAGTCATGTTGATTTATAACAATCATAAGGGAGATTACAAAAATGATCCCCCCCCCCCCCTCTTCCTTCCTCTGGCGAGACAGATATAAGAAATCTAGAATGGTATTTGGACAACAAGAGCCACTGTTCAGTAAAAAGGGGCTAGTAGGCATGTTACAGCCAAGGCGTACATATCTTCAATATAAGTACCAATAAAGTCTTAAACCAGAGGTTCAGAACCCCATCCGCTGGACTAAAGAGCAACACCTAACACTTCAAGCAAAACCAAATAAAGATAGCACAACAACCAATATGAGATGTGAAGCACAAAAACTATTAGATAAGTCTGTTTATGCTAAACTAACTCCAACCAGCAAAAGCATAGTGATTCCCCTTTAATGGAAAAAGTCTAAAGTAATGTGATTGTCAATTTGTTACTATTCCTAAAGTTCCCAACATATAGCCATTCATTGCAAAATTCAAAATATGGAGACCTAGAAAAGGATAAAACAACACAAAACCATAATCCGCATTTTGATTGGCCTCCAAATTAGAGGACATCCAATAATAAAGATGTACGTGTAGTTACGGAGTAGCAAAATAATTATAATAATAAAAAGGCCCCTCATGCCATATACAAAGTATCAAATAGTACTATAGTGCCAGAGGAGTCATGCAAAGCTATCTACAAAGAATCAGAAGCCCAAAAGAAAGAATAAACATAATATATATTAAGAGTATCTAGAAAAAAACCTACAAAATAGTCCACTTATCAAAAAAAAATATTGAATGTCAGATGAAAGATGCTATTAGCAAAATTTCAACTATTGAAACAGTAGAGTGACAAAGCAAGACTAGGAAAATAAGGAATCTAAGATGTTATAGTGCAGACTGCAAAATGACCAAAATTCTAGTAAAACCTTGCTTATTTAAGTTTGCTTAGAGATTTACTAGGTATAAGGGCAAGTGCACAATATTTTATGGCTAAAGAAATAGAGATATTGTGCAATCACTAGAATACTAGCAACTATTGAGCAACTAAGTAGTTCACAAAAACAAATCATTGGCATTACTTTCTACTTCATTCATCCCACAGTGTTCTGTCCTACCAGACTTTTGAACAAATATTAAGGAGTCTAGATAACTTCTGGGGAATAGAGTACAGGGAATTTTAGTAAATAGGGAGAGGTGAAATCAGGCTAAGGTCGACTAGAAAAAACTCTAGCACACTAGAAATAAGAGAAAGGGAGTAGAGTGAATAAACAATTGTGGGGCAAAGGGAGTTCTTGTAGTTATAAATCAAACGAAAAAGAAAACTCAGTACATGCCTGCACAGCAGTAAACACGAATAATAATAATAACAATAACAATAACAATAACAATAAAAATAACATATCAAGGACAATTATTGTGGACAAAGAGATTATTTTAAGGTATAAATCAAACAAAAGGTCAAATAAGGTACAGACCTGCACAGGGGTAAATGCCAAACTTGAAGTCAACCCTGAGGTAACACCACTGCTTCCGTAGCGCTTTTCCTTGAATCTGATTTTTAAAAGCAACAAAGAGATGTCAGAAAAGGATACGTCAACCACCCCAACACAATCTCAAAAACCAACTTCCAAGCACTAATTAACTAGAAGAAAACTTACTTCTTAGCAACTTTTGCTGCAAGCTTGCTTGGACCAGCAGACATACGTAACTTCCCACTTCCAGCTTGACCAAGCATACCATATCCTTCTCCCAAACCATCACCTTAGCAAAAGGAAAATGAATTGTAAGATATGCTATTATTCTAAGAAAAGGAAACTACTTGGCTAATTAAAAAGAGAAAATTTAAATATAAAAATAAATAACAAACTCCAACAGAATATTAAATTTTGAACTTGATTTGCACTAGAATAAAGTGACAAAGGTAACTTTAGAAATTCTTATCTAATATGAATATGTACCCTCATTAGCTTGCCTAGAATATCAGCATAGAATATCAGCATTCTATTCAAATTATATACCTGGATTTCCTGAATTCTACACAAGGATGCAAATCAAAAAAGATTTAGAGGCTTTGTTACACTAAAAGTAAGGAATTTTACCTAGAGAACTCTCTTCAGGCACACCAAACTGCATTCTGTTAGCCAATTTCCTCATATCTGTGACAGCATATCTGCAAAACAGGACAAGAACATACTAAGAAAATAATGTATGGAAAGAAAACACCCTGATACTTTAAGCCAATGATAAGTCTACCTTTCCTTCATCTTCCTTAGCCTTCGCCCACCTCTTTTCTTTTTAGGTTCTGAATCAGGCACGGGAAGAGGTTTTGGGATCTTAGGAGGTGGAGGTTCTTGCCACTTCTCGATCTTTTTACGGATATCTTCTCGTAATGTCCTTCCAGTCTTGCCAGTTGAATCTCCTCTCGTTGAATCTACTCGAGCTGCAAGGGTTGACTTTGCAGCCAAAAGACGACATGCACGCATTCTCAAAGGAGGGGGCGTACTCTGAAATACCTCTGTCTGCTCAATATAGCCAACACGAAAGTGAGATGTTGCAGTCGAAAAGCCTGCCAAATTCTTCCTTTTGGCCCCAAGAAGCTGAACATTACAAGCTGGCATCTTAGCTAATGAGGCCAAACCTCCAGCAGTCCCCATTAGTTTTGCTGCAACAGCACTCCCAACAATAGCTGAAAGATTAGGTGCTATATATACCATTCTGCTTTCAACAAAATCAAGGACTTTTTTCCTTGCTGAATCAAGCTCAATTGCACGATCACATGCCTCAACAGTCTTCTGTAAAACATCCTCTGGAAGTGGCTTACCACTGGTGGTTGAAGCAGTGACTGAAACAACCATAATGATGGCAGAAGGCAGCAGCCCTTCCAGATCAACTAGGGTCAAGTCCACTTCATTACCAATCTTCTTCACAACACGTGCATAGTCAATGGGGTGATGAACGAGGGATTCAAGCTCAGGAAACTTTAGACGGTACTTGTCACGGATAAAATTATGGATAATAATAATCTCATTCTCAATATCCACTGACAAAGCATTGCAGTCAACAATCAGCTGATATTCGGGATCATCTTCCAAAACTATTCCATGTTCAGGAATCTCTGAACCTTTTAGCAATGCATCTTCAACTTTCTGCAATTTCAAGAACAAGTTATTGATGACCATACAGCTAAATAAAACTCAGAAATCAGTACATTTGAACATCCAGTTGGCAACACCTCCTCTCCCCCCCCCCCCCACCTTCTCACCCTGGAAAAATTATTAAGCATCGAAACAAGATAAGTAGACAAGGGGCCCAGCGCAATAGAGAATGAGGGAGAGCCCTCAGCAGTCAGGGTCAGCACTTTCAACAAACCAAACAAGAGGCACAGGATGAAAGTCATGCAAATGAAGTGAAAGCCATCTTTCACAATAGGGGAAAGAGGGGAAAAAAAAAGAAAAAAACTATGATTGCATCTGGAGATATAATAAGACCTATATACATAACTGCTGAAAAATTCATAATAATTTGGCAGCTAATTAGCATAACAACGTCACAACACTCCTACAGTGAGTCAAAAACCTATTGTAAACATGTAATGTTCATCATCTTACCTGCATTATATCAGTGTAACGTTGAGATTTTTGTAGTTTGGAAACGCTATCAAGGTCATCATAATTCAGAGATTCTATGTCAGCTAACTCTCCGTCTATATCCTCCTCCATGTTGTCAGCATCAGCATCTCCTTCCACCTACAAAAGAAACAAACAAGAGCTATTAAAGACATACAAACTAACAAAAAATATTTTCCCTGTAATTACTCTCATTACGAGACCTTGACATCAAAATTCAATTATATAACATACACGACCAATTATTTAACATACTCTTCACACACTGAACTTAAACGTCAAAAACTGTAAGATAAGACTAAGACTAAGACTAAAAGTAATAAACTCACCACGACATCAGCTTCATTGTCTGATAAATCATCCAGATCGGCCAAGAAAGAATCAGCAAGAGTTGCCTGGAACAAAAGATGAAAATTCAGCCAATACACAAAAGAGGCAATATGAATGTGCAGTTGAGAAGGTTCATAAGAGCAAACTAAAATGTTCAGTAAATTGATTTTATATATCACCAATCACCATACAACTGAAATATACTATATTGAGGCAATCGACATCCTAAACAATCATCAATAATCCACAACACCTCCAGCATATCCAAATTCCAAAAATAAAACTCCTTATACAAACTCTAGAATCAAACTGTTGAGTGCACGAGAGTTGAACACAAACCAATCCAGCTAGTCAAATCATCATCTAGGGTTCTATCGAATATAAATTTCCAAGAAGTAAAATACGGATATTCATTACTTCAAAATAGCCCCTAATTGCAAAGAATAAAGGCAACGGCTAACCGTGTCGCAGCGCCAAAGATCAATATGCTCTCATGTACAGGGTACGCCACATTCCCATATTTGCACACTAAAAGATAGCTAAATTTTCACATTCTTTTGACATTTTTCTTCCTAATTACGATTCCTCGAACGTTTAAAGGATACCGTTTGCCTCAATCATGCTAAAAAAAACTCCTCTTTAATCCAGAACAATGCAAGAAATACAACTATGAACAAGAAAGACGCAGTAAAACATACAAACAACATACAATAGTACTCAACAACAAACTATATTCAGAATAGTGATCAGAGAAATTAGGTTTCCCAACAATGAATTGAAAATATTATGAATTCACAATCAAAAATTAGATGTTTAATGCGAGTTGTTCAATTACAAAATTAACAAAGAAATTCAGAAGAGATGAATTGCAGAAGACTAACCATTATGATTTACTCCAGCAAAATAGCGAGTAATTCGACGTAAGAAACTTGAAGCGTAGTTGAAACCCTAACTTGCGAAAAGGTGATTTAATTAATCAGAACTTGAATCCCCAAATTGAAAGTAAAATAAAAGTTGGGAATAATAATCCAATTGATAAAAGAATTTTAAACAAGTGTTGCCGACTTAGGGCGTTTCTCACCCCAACACGGTGCACAACTGCACACGGTGACAGGGGCAATTTAGTCAATGTGTTCTAAAATTGGCTCAGACTGGAAATATAAATCAAACATTCCAAACGGGATCAAAGGTGACTGGTTTAGTATTTTTGGTCTTACTCCCTCCATTCCCATTTGTTTTTTACGTTTCCATTTAGGGTGTTCCTTTTTATTCTTTACTAGGATATTTCCTTTTTAAGTCATTGATTTTAGACAAAATTACTCTTGCTTTACAAATTAAATACTCAATTGTCCTTCACTTTTCATGTGCATATGTACCTTTTATAACATTTTAATGGATTTTCAATACTCATAATTACTTTCTCTCTCATCTCTCTTCTAGATCCTTCCAACTTTCTTTACCCCACATGTACAATATTTCTTTTTTTAACTATAATTGTGGGTTACCAGGTGGGTTAATTCCACTAATTTATTTGCAAACAGTTCTAAAGACAAAATTATGAACACTACAATGGAAGATGCTACGACTACACTCTTTTGGAGCTCAGATGGAGGTGTTTGTAATGAGGACATCATCATCCTCATTGACGGAGCATGGAAGGAAAATGTGACTCAATCGAACAAGTCGTGGAGAGCAGCAGCGGGGTGGGTAATCAAAGAAAGAGGTGCAGTAATTGATAGAGGGAAGGCCCCGGTTTTCGCAACTTCACCAACTCAAGCAGAAGCGGAAGCAGCACTGATGGCCTTACAAAGGCCGATCCTTGCCGGAAGATCGGTGACTATGTTAACTGACTCAAAGGAGCTGGTAACCGCTTTTATTGAAGATAAAAGAGCTAGAAGGGAAGTAAAACAGGTAGTACATGATATTAAGCAGAAGACTAGTAACCTTAGACACTTTGTTCTAAGGAAGGTTAGTAGATGTAGAGTACAGGAAACCCACATACTTGCTACAGCAGCAAGAAAGGGACTGTAACTATTGTATGTTTTCTTGATTATCAAAAAAAAAAAAAAAAAACTATAATTGTACTTTGAATGATTAATTTATGTCAATTCACCTCAATTTTACACAATTTCTTAACAACCGCGCATAATTCCAAACGTAAAGAATAAAAGGGAACGGAGGGAGTACCTTTTAAAAAAATAAAAAAAGGATTGGTTAGGTCTCTAGGTAGCTACTACTTCTTTTTTATACTCCCTCCGTTTTTAAATACTTGCTCCATTTCTCTTGGATACGCATGTCGATGCTAATCTTTGATCACTAATATCTTTAATTATCAATAAGTATAAATTCTAACAATTGAAAATTAATAATCTATTCATAGAGATGATTCCAACAAATACCCACATGACTATATTTTTTTCTTATGTATAAATCACAAACATTAGTCAAAGTAGGACAAATAAATAGTGCAAAAAATAGAAAGCAAGTATTTAAAAATGGAGGGAGTATTATTTACAAGTTACAACGATTTGACATGAAAAAAAATGTGTTTTTTTAAAAAAAAAATTCTTAAATTTAAGTTGCGTTACATAAACTTTTTTTTTTTTAAGGCTTGCATTACATAAACTTGATTTTCAACAATATAGACTTTTTTTTTTTAATTTTGTATGATCTGTTTAATTTCTTGGATTTATCTTATCTAAATTTATTAACCTTAATAAAAAGTCATGTATTAATTTATCTAATTTTATTTTGGAAAAATTACTCAGAATAATACGACATTTACTTCATCCGACCTTTGATATCACTGCGCTCAAAATAGACCCAATAAACCGGTTACCTAATAAACCAGTAAATTTTTTTATGAGTTTAAAGTACACATGTCACCGTATAATTTGTCTAAAATTTTAAATCTTTAAAAAAATTAAATTAAAAAAAAAAAATCGCAGCCACATCCTTTCCCAGCCTCAACCACCGTGACATCATAGACTCATAGTAGCAGCTGTGACATTGGAGCTCGATTGCTGTCGTCGCTATTGTGGGTGGTCTGGGCGGCCAAAATCGGGGCAGTGGAAGGTGAGGGAGGCTGAAATAGTTGCCATGGGGTTCCGCAAATTGAGCCGAAATTGGTTGAAATTGGGGCTGCTAGAGGTTTGTTCATGCCGGCAGATTGTTGCGGTTTGAATTGCAGTGGGTGGGCGGTTTTTGGTGCGGTTGTGATTGGTGGTTGCCGCTGCAATTGCGGGCTTGTGAATTGGAGATGGTTGGTGGTTGTTGGGGGCTGTATATGCGGTGTGCGTGAGGTGGTTTAGTGGTGTAATGTGGCAGATTGTGGATTGTAGTGCGAGGTGAGGCTATGGGTGAGAAATGGATAGGGCTGCTCGCGGTGGCCGGAAATGATAGCGTTGTGGCTGGTCGCTGCTGTTTTGAAGGAGGAATAGGGGAGACGAGGGTGTGCGTGTTTGGTTGGCAAAAGGGGTTGGTGGTTGAGGTTAGAAGGTTCAGATGGGCGCTGCTTTGGCGCCGGCTCCGGCGTTGGTGGACTGGGTGGCCGGAGCGACGGGGCAGGGAAGTCAGGCAGGGGAGGGAAATTGAAGTTTTTTTAATTTTTATTTTTTCTTTACAAAACTTTAACATTTTTTAATATTTATTTTTATTTTATTTTTATTTTTTTGACGAATCACGAGTCGACACATGTCAAGTAACTTGGTATAACAAATTGCATGACTGGTTGGGACCATTTTGAGTGGATTGATATCAAAGGTCGGATTATTAAAAAATAGGAAAATTTACTTTAAATAAATCAACCTTTGTCCCTTTCTCCCAAAATAAACCAACCTTTGGATTATTCCAGAATAATACAACCTTTTACCACCTTCTTCCCATATCAAACACAACAGGTCACCTATCCGGTACAATCGGTTATATGTGCTACGTGGCACTTCATGAGTGGTTTTTTTTTTTTAATTTGAGTTGGAAAAAAAAATTAACAAAAAAAAACTAACCCACCCCCTGGTTTCTTTCGCCCACCTGCTTTCTTCTTTCTTTCTCTTCCCTTATCACCACCAATCCACCGTAGTCACCACCAATCAACCATAGCCACAACCATCCTTCTTTCTTTCTCCTTTCCCTTCCATGGCCTTCCTCCATTACCACTTCACCTCCCCTTTAACTTTCCCACCAACACCACCTCTAACCACCACAAACCTCCAGCCACCGCCACCAACACCTCCGGCCACTACATACCTCCAACCACCACCAAACAACCCTCCAGCCACCACGAATCTCTAGCCTAATTGGGTTAGATCCATCCCTCCACGAGGCTATTGGTTAAACTGGGTGTACAATTGAGGCGGTTGCTCCGATTGGTGGTTGATGATTGTTGCAATTGTTTGGTGGTGGGTGATGCTGTTTTTTGGTGCAATTATTGCGGCTGCTGCGTGGCTATGTTTTGCGGATGGCGATGGTGAGTGAGTGGGGTTGTTGTGTTGGTGGTGTTGTGAATGGGGATGTTGTTATGGTTTTGTGAGGTGGTGATTTCGGGTTTGGTGCATAAGGGAGTAGCAGGGGAGATTTTGGTGGTGTATGGTGCGTCGATGGTGGATATTTGAGGGAGTAGTGTTTGTTTGGGGCGGTCTGGTGAAGGTGGTGGTGGTGGGATGAGTGGTGACTTCAAAAGAAAGAAGGGGAAAATAAAATGGAGGTGGAGCTTTGGGTGGTGGAAATGGAGGAAGATGATAGCAATTGGTGGAAGGAAGGTGAAGGAAATGGATAACCGATTGTTTGGGTAACCAGTCATTTGGGTTTGATATGGGAAGAAGGGGGTAAAAGGTTGTATTATTCTGAATAATCTAAAGGTTGACTTATTTTGGGAGAACGGGGCAAAGGTTGGTTTATTTAAAGTAATTTTTCCAACTAAATATAACTAGACCTTATGTTGAACAATATTCTATTTGAAACATATACAACCCTTTAAGATGATTAATTTTAACTTAATATGTTATGAAGATTTTTTTATTTTTTTTTTAATTTGGTAACAAGTATTACTTATTTTATACAAAGAATAAGGCTTTCATAAAAGCATTAAATAATTATAAATAAAAAAAAAATCCATTTTGTTACTAGTACGGAGTATAAAATATCAAAAAATATAGGAAATTTTTAAATTGGTTCATTTTGAGTTTTGGACTCGTTATATTTATAAACGATATGATCTTCAATTATAGATTTCCAGTCTTCAATTTGATTTTTGAATGATGAACAACCCTACATGCACTAGCTAGACCCCATAGGTGCTAGGATTGTATATCCAAAATTCCACACGTAAGGGAATGTTGGTTATTGCCTACACGAGCATAGCTCAGACTCACTCGAACATCGTAGCAGGGATTGTATATTTGTATATCCACTCATAATGGCATGTTCGCTGGTTAAGAATTTTAGTTATCAAATGAGAGGTTGTATTTGTATCAATGTAAACTTTTCATATGTGCAATATTTTTAACTTTTTTTTAATGTAAAATGAAATTTATTTAGTGATAAGCAAACACAAATAAAATGATCTAATTCAACCACTTTTAAAATAACTAAATATTCGCTTTATATAAGTTGATCATCAAATATTGACTCAAAGTCTAAAATAGCTTAATAATTACTGTATTAAAACAACAATTTTTAATTTTATATTTTACTCTCGCCACCTTTAAAAATACAAGAAAATTCAAGTTTACCACCGTTATAAACAAATTTGTTTATCAAAGAGGCAAAAGTGCAAATTTTGCAATAAAAGTAGCTTTTCCCACTAACTGTTTCCCAAATACCGCTATTATTTGCGGGAATCGATATATCCGCAAGATCTAGTACTTCAAGCTAAGTAGCAATTTCCCTCCAAACTGCTGCTTCAAGTAGCAATTTTGGTCCATGATAAACGAAACTTGTTTATCACCAAAATTAAATGGAGTGGCCTCTAAAAAACCCGACTTTTGTGTTTCTTGAAGGTGGAATTATTTAAAATAAAAAAAAATAAATTGATGAAACTCTGCAATAATTCGATCTTTACAAAATTCATGCTCAAATAAATATTTATGATTTGATTTAAATATAATTTTTTTTAATCGCCCTAACAATGATCATATTTTAATTTGACCCAAGCTCACGAAGGACCCTATTTGAAGTTTACAACTCATTAATTAATTATCCGATCAGAATCTTCGCGACAAAATATAACCCGCTACAAAATTTAAAGCTCGGTCGAGCATAATATGTCAATACGGACCCAAATTTGGCTTACATTTTATCTAATCTATACCCAAAATATAAAGGAAAAATTGATGGAAATAATCCCACATTTTGAGCATCAGAGATTAATAATCCCACATTTGGGATTCCTTTTAATTATCCCACCTGTGATATCATTCTGCTCAAAATGGTCCCGGGTGACCTAGATATCAAAGCCACCACCCAGACCCAAAACCACCGCCACCACTAGCAGGACTCGAAACCACTGTACCGCAATCCACCCCAGCCAACCCAACCCCAAAACACCTTCAAAAATAAAAAACACACCAAACCCAAAACCACCTTCAATAATTGAAAACCCACCAAATCAAGGTCAGGGAAAAGGGAGGGAGGCCGAGATTGGGACGGAGGAAGGGAAAGACTCGAGATTGGGGCGGAAAAAGGGTTTTTGAGGGTTGTGGGATGGTTGGTTTTCGAGGGTTTTCGTGGCGGTGGAAGGGAGGTTGGTGGTTCAGGGGCGTCGACGTTGGGGGAGTCAACCTGGGCGGTCGGCGTTGTGGGGCAGGGGATATTGGCGGCAATGACGACAGTTGCAGGTTGCGGGGAGGGTGGATGGGGCTGGGCAGCTGGTTGGTGGTGGGTGGTTTTTTTTTTCTTATAAAATATCTATTTTTTTAAATATTTTATTTTATTTTTATTTTTTGACCAATCATATGCCGCCACGTGTCAAGTAACTTGTTATATCAGGTTACTTGATCAGCTGGGACCATTTAAAGTGGATTGATAAAAAGAATCCTAAAGCTGGGATTATTAATTTTTAATGCTCAAAAGGTGGAATTAGGGCCTGTTCTCTTACGTTAAAATTCAGTTCAGTTCAGCTCAATTCAATTCAATTCAGTTCAGTTCAGTTCAGCTCCTAATTTCCTTCTCTTATAAAATATTCATTTCAGTTCAGTTCAGCTGAGTTCAGTCAATGAGAACGGACTCTTATTCCCATCAATTTTTCCAAATATAATATAAATAATTCATTATAATAATTCAATTATTTAAAAACGGAGGAAAAATTGACCAATCCGATTAGCTAAAAATGATCACTTTCTCGAGTCCTTTACTCCTTTCTCAGTCTCACTCTCTGTATCTTCCGTAGTCTTTCTCGATTAATCTCAATCACGAGAAGCCGGGAACGAACTAGCAATCCACAAACTCTTCTTCCTAATCAATTTACATTTAGGTAATCTCTTGTCCATTAATTTCAAACTGTTTTTGACTGGTTGTTCATCAATTTTACACAATGATAGAAATCGTTTGTACTGTATAATTCATGGGCAATTTTGAACCTTTCATGTCAATTTTCTGTTTCAATTTTTAGCATTTCTCAATTTCTTCCAATTTACGAGCTTTAATCAGAAAAAATAATTTCCAATTCAATTTGCAATCTAGCTTATTATGTCACTCCTTCCGGTAGATGTTATCATTGATATTTGTTGAGGCCATGAGAAAACCCACCTGTGAGTGAAAGTGTTGTCCCACATTGAAAGAATATAAAAGTGAAGAGAAATATTGGGATGTGTATCCCACATTGAAGAAAAGAGAAAGCCGTGTCCACTTTATAAGGCTAAGGGGCTACTCTTAAATTGCCGGCAAAATCTTTGCTAATCTTTGCTTCACCATGTGATACAACAGATGATTGGGGAGTTTAGGCCTCTTTCTTTCTCGACAAGCAGAAAGCAATTGTTTTTGACCTATAACTCATATGTTCTTGCTTCTTTGGACATGGAAACTTTGGAGACTACGATAGTTAAACTCCCAGGTTTTCCTAGAGTTTTATGTACACATTTGTGTCAGGAGAACCTTCATAGGTTCAAGGATGCTGAAGATGTTCTTGTGGGCACACAGCAACAACGTAAAATGAACAGCAAAAGGCAAAGGTTGATGAGGAGAACAGAGAGGTATGCAAAATGTAGCTTCTAGCATTCATCAGTTTTCTTCAATCTCAATTATCTTTGTTTTACTCTGAACAAAAATAAGAAGGGAATTGCACATCATTGTTTGTAACAAATCTTGCTTTTGGTACTTTGATATGTGCCCTTTCAAATCTTGATTCATATTTATAAGATCTTGCGGTCATTAGGTACAGACAAATGCAATCAACCTTGAAGTTTGGTAGTATCTTTGTGTTTGTAGGATTTCTATCGCATGAGTGTTAGGATCTCAATTTGATTATACAATTCTTATTTTGACAATCCAAATTTTCAATGCTAAGATGAACATTAAATTAGTTTCATTTATACACCACGTCTGTAAGAAATTCATAGTATTTTGATTTTTCTATTTAAAGCTATGATTGAGTTTTAAGTACTACTTTTTAACTTTGACTAAGAGGATTTTATGAAAGATTTATGATTCATTTGTCACTTTTATCCTTTTGCTTTTTTGTAGGATTTTACAACACGATCATTCCATTGTAAAATCAGTCATGGGCAACGGTGCTGATAAAAAATAGAGTCTTGAACCTCATTGTATATCTACATTCCAACATTAGAGGTACAAGTTTAATATTATGGCTTGTTTCTTTCACCATGATTCACTTTAGAGAACCAACAATATAATTTGTCTAATATGTTTATTCTGTTTGTTCTGTTATATAGATAGTTTTGTTTAGAAATGAAAATGCTTGTGTTTTTACTATTTTTTTTATTTACATTGGTTTCAAGGCCTTTGTCTATACGATTATGTATTAGAACCCAAAAGATGCAATTACTTATGCTGCCTCTTTAGCAACTGTATATCTTTTATTTGTCCCTTGCAACCATTGTACATGACTACATGTTGATGGTTTGCTCACTAGCTTTAGTTCGTAAGATGACATAGTTGAAGTGGCAGTGCTGTTTCATAAGAGTATTAGATAAGCACAGTAGACTTATTGTTGATGAACTGATGAAGTTTTAGGCTGTGCTTAATGTCTGAAGTAAGGATGCAATGATGTTTGTGTTAGTGTAATTGCAATTAGTAATTGTTTGTCATAATAGGGGAACAATCTAAAGGCTAAGGAGAAGAAACACTATTGTTACATTTCTCATGCTCTTCTGAATGAGAAATCAATGGCGTCAGGATGAAATAAATACTGTCTAAACTTTAAAGATATTAAAGTAATTTTGGAGGAAAACATATTGGTATTTTTTTAAAAATTAAATAGTAAATGCAGTGTTCAATCTGAGCAATTCTAATAAAGAGCATGTTAAATCATAAATTCCATTGTTTAAGCTGCCATTAGTTGCTGATAATAGGTTTTTAGCACTTTTGAATCTTTATACCAACTCTTATGTCAGTATGTCACAAGTGACCACAGTTTCTCTTTCCCTTTTCAGGTTCTATTTACTTAAATTATCTATTGGCCCTATACTTTTTAAATGCAATGAAATCCTATTAGTGTCATTACTGTCATTCAATAATCTCACTAATTGATCATAGTTAAGGGTACTGAATTGAAAATGACAATACCCGATTTGGTGAACTGAAGTTACAGGACTCGTAAGTCTGCTTTGAGATTCTGTGTGAAGTTTGTTACAGCTATATTTGTGGAACCTGGTTTTTAATTTTTTTTTTATCACGCTCGTCCTCTCTAAGAAGATGAATTTACTGTGACTGGATCATGTCTTGGTTGTTACAAATTACAACCAGCATGTGGCTATATGGCTTCTTATACATTCTCAAGAGACGAACCCACTTACTACTTATTCTGCTTTAGCCATCATTTTGCTCATTGTTTCTTATCAGGGACCTTGTCAAATTATTAAGAAGTGAGTAACTAGAAGGAAAAACACACAGAGAGAAAAAAATAGGAAGCAAAAAAATTTTCGTTATGTTTTTAATCTTGTGGACTCTGAAGTCATGCACTATTGTTGTACTTGTTATTTTGTTGGGTTATATAGATTATAAGGAAAGAGATTCTGTTTATCAACACAGTGTATACGTACTGTCTTTAAAGAACATAAAGATTTTACGTTTATATAATTATATTTATGTCCTTTGTGCAACAGAAATCAAAAGATGAATCTGGATGACAGCTTGGTGAGAATTCTATCTAGCAATGGCAATCTGGATAAGTTACAGCCCCTTCAACATGTATTGCTGCTGCCGGTTTTTGATGCGACATTTGCATCTTCTAGTGTTCCTGGCTCTGCATAAAAACTCCTGGGTTTAGATGAGCTCTTAGCTTGTAATGAAATCTGTTTAGTTAACCTTATCTATGTACTATATGGTGCCCAAGTCTGGAACAACGTAATTGTATTTCTGATATCCTTTTCAGCTCCTCAGGTTGATTTTTGTGGGGATGTTTTGCTATTTCTAGGTACGATTAAGACTTCATTTGTTTCACTACTGTTAATCATCGTACTTACATGTTGAAGTTATGAATGGAACCCTTGTGAGATAATTTAAAGCTGTGTCTTTGTCATCTATCAGTGTTTCATCAAGTTGTGCTTGTGCCTGCAATCATATATATGAACTTCAGAAGTTTCATCTTCTCATATATCCAGTATCTTGGAGTGCATATCATGTTTGAACTTTACTGGCCTTTTGGATTAATCTAGTTTTACTGAAAGCATGTTGCAAATGCATCAATCTTAGCATTTGACCAAAGTAAAGACAGTATATTATTATGTCAAAAAAAGACACAAAGACAGTATATTGTATTATGTCATGAATGCCGTATGCCCCTAGCTATGTCCATTATTTGTGGGATTGAGGTGGCTTGATTTGATCAGGAGAGGGTTTCATATTATCGAGCCGCGTTTCAGGCTTCTTTTTTCCGTTCTAATTTTGTCTTGAAACTTAGTTAACTTACCCAGACAGGTCCCAACTGGACTGGTTAAATTTTGAGCTATGTTGATCCAAAAGTTTTGGTTTGACTGGCTTAAGATCACCTCTACTCTTCCCGTTTTCACTCCCTATTTTTGTACAAGTGAAAATTCAAGTAAGCCCCTAAGATTAAGTTTGATCAACTTTCCTTTGACAGAGGCTTTGTTCTTTGAAAATTTGATCGTCTTTCCTTGTTAAAGGATTTGTTCTTAAAAAATTAATACGAAGTATTCATTAAATTTAAGTTTCAACTAGCTGAAATCTATTATGGAAGTTTTAGCATATCAATATATAGCCATATTGGTATAAGGTATTCCATCCGTCCCTTTTTTACATTCTTGCTTTCCTCTTTGGGTATTCCAAAATTACATTCATCCTTTTCTTTTTTTAGTAAATGTTATACATACCCCTTAGGACAACATATAAAAATAAAATTTACACTTGAAAATCGTAAAAAGTTAAGAAATCATCAAAATATAAATACTAATAACAATGATTTACGCGTGTTTTTGACATGAATTTCTAATTTTATACAATTTCCAAAAGTATACTGAATGCTTATATATAGCCCTTAGGGCTACATATAACATTACACTTCCAAATATCCCAAATTATCCCTCTTTTTCTATTATGTAATTAATGCTTACTCAGTTACTCTTATTTTCTCACTCTTACTTTCCTATTCTCACTCTTAAATTTAGATGAATATGATTGGTTATTAATATTCCAATAGGAGCATGTTATTAGTCTTTTTTTTTTTTTTTTTTTTTTTTTGCGCAAAGGATTGATGACATGACATCATTAAATATTAATCTATCTTTGTTTTACTCAAAGACAACATTTAATGTTTTGTACTTCCCATTGTGTTTTATTTTATTGTTATTTGTTTTATTCTTAGTTCCTTAATTCCCGTGTAATTTTACAAACAGGAATGTAAAAAAGGGATAGAGGGAGTATAACAAATACAACAAAGGTGAGTGTGCGTAGGGCATAAGCCTTATTCAATACGGTAGTGACTTTTGAGCTAAATAAAATTAAAAACCAAGGGAGCCCAATTTATCGCCTCGATAAAACATATTCTTGGACGGATGAAAATGAGAGCTGTGTTTTGGGAAAAAATCGTAAGACTTTGTGGGGAAAATAAAGTGGGTAAAATCACTAATATCCTCTATGATCGCTACATTGTTTTTTCTTTTGAAATCAGTCATCATACCATGATACAAGGGGAAATGATTGATTTTGGCACACCCATAAGCACAGTTTTCTATGCTTTTCTCACGGGGTGTGCCAAAATCAATAAAGGGTGTGCTAAAATCAATTTCCCAACTGTATTATTTTTTTTGTCTTTTGATTGATTTTTTTTCTTTTTAATTTATTTATATTAGGGTATTCAATTATGAAATGGTACATTTTGTTCAAAAATAAAATAACCATGAAACCGTACATCATATAGAAGTAAAAAATTACCTCTTGATATTAGTTCAATTTGTATAATTTTATCTCTCCTATCATGTGCAATAAACAACAACACGTACTAAGAGCCTGTTCTATTCAACTTAATTTCAGTTCATTTTAGTTCAACTCTAATCAGTTCAGATAGGTTAGGTTCCTAATTTTCTTTTTTCATAAACAATTCATTTAAGCTCTATTTAGTTCAGTTTAGCCCCAATCATTTCAGTTCAGTTGTTTTCAGTAAATCGGAACAGACCCTAATTAGCTTATACTTGTAATGGGTTGAACATGAATTTGTTCTAGACTACCTTTGATTTATGCTTAACAAGGACTGTTTATCAGTTGAGCGAGCTTTAATTGAGTCAGACTCGAACAATTCACGAGCATACTCGATTCATTAATAGCCCTAGCTTAAACCCATGAACAACTCTTAATCAAAGCAAAATCATAGGATACTCAAATACTTACTTTGCTACTAGCCTACAATATATCAAAAGCAGAACTTTAACTTAAAAAAACAGCTAGCAGCATAAAGATAAAAAGTACTCATATTCCCAAATCTCCAAGCCAAATTCAGAAATCCTATCATTTTAAAATCATATGCTCTGTCTTTAACTTTATAAAATCAATCTTTCAAAAAAAAAATAAAAAATCTTTATAAAATCAATATGTTGTCCAAAAAAAATTCACCTTTTTAAAATCAGACTATATATTAGTATTATTTTTATTTATCTTAATTCCAGCTGCTACCCTTCTCCTTAATTTGGGCAAATTGCACATTTTGTCAAGCATCACACATCCACAATATTCACACACATATATATTCATTATTCACACCAAAATTGTGTGCCCTATTTCATTTTGGCCCCTCTGCCCCTTATTGTCTTCATTTTTGGCCCCCTTTTCTGCTTTTTATTCAAGATTACAAGGGTTTTTACAAGAAAAGAGTGTGAAAGGGGGATAAGAAAAAATCCCAAAAAAAATAAATATATTTTTTAATATTTATAATTAATTAATTAATTTTTCTATAAATTGATTGATGGCTGGAGAAGGTATAGTTGCTCCCTCTGGTACAGATTTACCAGTGAAGAGACCTAGAGAAGAAGAAGAAAACATGAGTGAGAAAATTGTTAATGGAGCTTCTTCTGTTTCAATGGAGGCTGAAGATGATAAAAAACCCAATTCTATTTCTTCAATTATTCCTGGGTGGTTTTCTGAGATTAGCCCAATGTGGCCTGGTTTGTTTCTTTTCTCTAAATCTTCATTTTTTTTATTTTGATTTTGATAAGTTTTTAAGGTTATTTTTTGCATTAGATTTTCTGATTAGATGCTAATTTTTATTGGGTTTTAGATTTAATATTTGATTGGTTATTGTAATTGTGAAAAAATTTCTGGGTTTTGTATATTTTGTAGTTGTAAAAGTTTTCTGGTTTGCATGTGTTCTTGTAATTGTAAGCTTTTCTGGGTTTTTGATGGGTTTTAAGTAATTTTTAATTTAAAAACTTTTCTGGGTTTTTTTGATGTCATAGTTTCTACGGAGTAAGTGTTTGTCTGACAAAAATCTATTTTTGGGTGTTTTTTGCGCTTTACATGTTATGTTTTTGCTAATATTAGTTAGTAATTTTTCTAGGGTTTTGGGCAATTTATTAAATTAAATTGGATATCAACTATTAGCAATCATTGTACCATGTGTGGTGGTGCTCTGGATGAAGTTGCCGTAATATTAAGCTACTGTGATTGTGCTAATTATATTGTCAATCATATCATTTGTTTAAAGCACATATACTAATAATTGCATTTTCTTTTAGAAAGGGTTATTTTTTACTCTAAGTATTGATTACTAGTAATTCCTGAATCCTGACAAATTGCTGTTGTTGGAATGATTGTGCTTACATTCATGGTCTGGTATTGTTTGGCTGGTATTTGATTCAAGAAATGCTGTTTGTTGTGCTCGAGTTTGAATACAGTTTAGTTGTCTGTTACTTCACCATTTTTTAAGTTCTGCTAGCCAATAGCTTCAATTATATAGTGTTCGGTTGTCTTTGATGTGCGTAATTTCTTTGATGCTTAATGAACATTCGAATGTATGAGTATATGCTTTGATATATATTGGTGGCTGGGTTTGGTCATTTGTTATAATGTAATTTTTGATTAAATGGTATTTTGACCTTAGGAATATGATATGAGCTTCTACTCCTAGTTGTCGTAAACTTGATCTTGGCGGTAATTATTAGTATTAACTTAAAAGATAAGTCAAAATAAATTAAGTAGCAAGTAGCAACAATATGATATTTATGGATGTACTGGTCTAGATAGCTAAAATGTTGCTTTGTTAATTGTGTTTGAAGTAATTGATGAGTTTTGGAAGGAAAAGGTGGTTTGAAAGCCTGTTGATTTACAGAAAATTTGCTCTAAAGGATTGAACAAATGGAGCAAAGATATATTAGCTGGTAAAACCGTAAAATTAATTAATTTCCAAAAGCCAAATCAAACAGTTTCTCAGTAGTGTCATTGTTTGTGAAAAATTAACTCCAACTAGTGATGCTGTCTTGTGCTCGTCCTTCCTCAATTTAAACCTCTGCAACCTGACACTTAAACTGTGCTGTATTCCCTCTTTTGCAATTTGTTTTTCTTGATAAATAAGAAAATTTGAGGCCTATCCTACACATTGCTGATGATGAACCCTTAAATCTGGAACAGGTGAAGCACATTCTTTGAAAGTGGAGAAAATTCTGTTTCAGGAAAAGTCAAAGTATCAGGATGTCATAGTCTTTCAGGTATTCTAAGTATACAACTTAAATTAAGCTCTTAATTTACTGACTTTTCAAGTTATTTTTTGATTAACTTAATTGTGTCTTTGTTACAGTCATCAACCTATGGAAAAGTTCTTGTTTTAGATGGAGTAATTCAGCTCACTGAGAGGGATGAGTGTGCTTACCAAGAGATGATCAGTCATCTCCCACTTTGCTCTATTCAAAACCCCAAAAAGGTTTATTTCTTTCTCTACCTCTCTCCTGATTCCTGAAGAAGGAACAGTGATTGTGTTCGTGATCATCTTCATTGTTTTCCAGTTCATTTTCCTATCATCTGATTGGCGGATCTTATCTCTCATCAAGATATCGATGGTCGTGACCCCAATTAAAAAAAAAAAAAACATAATTTTGTTATCTGTAAGCTCATTTGGATTTATTTGGTGTCTGAAAAAGCCTTTTAGTTCTTCTTTTCCCTGTATCCCGCATGCCATTTTCTATGGGAACAATTTGACAATTTTTTTTAAATCTCTAGGTAATTTTGGGGGCTTATTAATGCCTAAATTCCCTCTGTTTTCATCATTCTTTGTCTGTATGCATGGGTGTCAAGGTTCTTGAGAAGAATTGTTGGAACCAGGATATGCTGAAAACAAGGATTTCCTTGTGTTGTGACAAACCAATGTTTTCTTTCTAAATATATAATTATTAAGATTTAAACCTATTGACACAAAGTCAGTGGCCATGTCATGATCTCATGTAGTTGCTTGTAACAGATTTAATTTGTTAGCTTGTTTAATTTTCATTGTTTTAATCTACAAGCTACCTTATGGCTTGCCAGTTTTACTGTGTGGAGGGATTTTGCTGAGGCTAACATGTTTCCTCTTCTTGGTGAAAGCCTAATATACGGATTCTGTGTTTATCTCGTAGGTTCTGGTCATTGGAGGAGGAGATGGAGGTGTCCTGCGAGAAGTAGCTCGCCATTCATCAGTTGAGCTTATAGATATTTGTGAAATTGATGAGATGGTAGTAACGGTGAGTAGTCGAGGGTGATTTGTTGGTTGTTTTTTTCTTAATACTGAAGTTAAAATTCAAACCCTTGGAACTTAAAAGTTATTCAACTTGATCTCTATATCCTCATCCATGTTTGTTATCATGGTATTATTCCTTGGAAATGGAGGCATCATTTTAAAGTGTATACTCAATTATGGCTTCTGTTGGTCCTATTATAGCTTGACTTTTCCGCTTAGATTGATTTTTTTAAAAATTTCAGGTTTCTAAGCAGTTTTTCCCTGAGGTAGCTGTTGGATATGAAGATCCTCGAGTAAAATTGCATATTGGTGATGGTATGCCCTTCCATCCTTTCCTTCTTATCCAAATTGTTTTACTGTTAACTCCTTTTTGCATATTCTTTGTGTGGTTCTGTGGGTGTGTTTGGTGTGTGTTAGGGGGTATCTCTGTCAAGATTAATCTTTTCTTTCTCATCGTATCTTTTATCCCCGGGGTCCACCAATGGTATTGACTAACGACAAAATTGACTTTTAGGAGTTGCATTTTTGAAGGCGGCTGCGGAGGGTACTTATGATGCAGTCATCGTGGATTCATCTGATCCGATAGGTTTCTCCTTTACACTCTTTCTCTGTTCCAGATTTCCGCTATATTAGATGTGGTTTAGTGTCTTTCATTTCAATACTCAATTCTTGCTTCGGATGTTGATCAGGTCCAGCACAAGAGCTCTTTGAGAAGCCCTTTTTTGAGTCAGTTGCAAAGGCACTGCGACCCGGAGGGGTTGTGTGCACCCAGGCCGAAAGTATATGGCTTCACATGCATATAATTGAAGATATTGTTGCAAACTGCCGTCAGATTTTTAAGGGCTCCGTGAACTATGCATGGACTACTGTTCCTACATATCCTAGGCATGTTTTCTCACCCTTCTTTATCTTTTTCCCCTTGCACCCCTGAACAAGTGAACATGCACAAAGTTATTAGTTGATTGTATCTGTAAGACTAACAAAATTGGATAGTTAGGCTAGTTTACTCGAATCAAACATGTGATGCGTAGTATTATATTTCTGTTTTCCTCCAGTTATGTGCTCATAACTTGTTAACCAGCATTTGTTATTGAATTTTAACATATATTTTAAATTTCAGTGGGGTGATTGGCTTCATGCTTTGTTCTACTGAGGGACCAGAAGTTGATTTTAAGCATCCAGTGAACCCTATTGATAAAGTTGAAGATCATGAAAAGACAGAGAGACCTTTGAAATTTTACAACTCAGAGGTAGGTTTACTCTTTTTTTTTTTTTTCTCCTACCATTGGTCATTTATCCACGATCAATATCTCACTTTTTTTGTTTGTTTGCAGCTTCATTCGGCCGCTTTCTGCTTGCCTTCTTTTGCAAAGAGGGTTATTGAGGCTAAATCCAAGTAATCTTGGTCTGCTGTGGATTTCCGTTAGAAGGAAAATTTCATATGTGCTCAAGCAGAGAATAAAGATTTATTTTTCTCTTTCTATTTTTTTCCCCGACATTTCAAGCAGACAAGCTTTCTAGTCATTAGGGATGTTACAACAGTATTTGTTGAAATTTCTTTCCCCTTGAACAAAACTGAGAGAAATCATGATAACAAATTTGTTAGCTTGTTTCACCTGTAGTTTTATAATGATAAAGGGTGTCATGAGGATTTTATTAGCAATATTGTCTTGAGTTTGGAGCAGATAATCTGAGTTCTATGCCTGTTTTATTGCTGTTTGCACAAGTATTTAGTTGTGCTGTAGTTGGATACATGCTGCGTCAATATAGCAACTATGTGGAGGGTAATCCCTCATTTTCATCTGCAGCAGTATTGGGATCTGCTTATGATGTCGCTATCCCGTCACCAGAAGCCATAATTGTAGCCAACATAGCTGCTTCAAAGGGTTATGTTCATCAAAGTGATATTCCTTATTTCTTTGTAAAGGAATTAGGTTTTATCCATTTCAGGAATTAAGGATTTAAGGTTATAAAATTGGGGATTTAGAGATCACAATTCATCAATTGGGATTGAATTACAATTGGGTGATTTGGATTTTTAAATTTGAAGTTTGGTTTATTAAATTTGTGAATTTTAGGGTTATATAGGGAATTAGAGTGTATATATATTTAGGAAAATTTGTTCAAAAGGACCAAGAAAGAGGGCACTTTTGTTCAAAAGGATCAATTAAGCCAAAAGTTGTTTAAAAGGACCACAAAAGACAGTTTGGGTTGTTGAGGGGGACCAAGGTCAATATTCAGGCAAGTAAACGTCGGACTCCGGCACCAAAAATTAATATTTTTTTCCTTTTTCCACAATTTTCCTCTAATTTTCCAATTAACCCCAATTTAACCCTTTTCAATTCCATTCTCTCTCCTCCTTTCTTTCTCTAAGCTAGAAGCATTATTCATGGCATTTCCTCCTCTTGTTTGCCATTGTTAGTGGGCAAACTTTGCTGCTTTGAATTGATCGTAATGATTAGTTTGCCCATATTTGCAATTGATTGCAATTTCAGTTTGCCCATATTCATGTTGCTGCAAATCCAAATTTGAAACACAAAAACGAACAACATCAAGCAAAATCCCCTAAATTCGACAAATCGCAACCAAAATCGCAACACATGCCTTATTCCGCTTTCCCTCGATTGCGCTCTGGATGAATTGTTAGCAGAAAGAGGGCGCAATTGCATATTGCTCAGAATCTAGGGTTTATCCATTGAGGAGAGATAAAGAAGAAGAATTATAAAATTTGGAGGAAATGGTGATTTTTGGGGGGAATTCATGAAGAGTAATGGAAAAAAAGGAAAAAAAAATAAAAATTTGGCCCAACTTAATGAGTCACGTGACAAGCACGTGATGGTCAACGCCGGATTTGACTTGCCGGTAAATGTAACATGATCTCACTCAACAACCTAAAGTGTGTTTTGTGGTCCTTTTAAATAACTTTTGGCTTAATTGGTCATTTTGAACAAAAGTGCCCTCTTTCTTGGTCCTTTTAAACAAATTTTCCATATATTTAACAATCGGTAAGATACAGGGGTCTCGCACCCTATCATAGGAATGGGGGGATGAGGATCGAACTCACCCTATCTCTCCATCTCCTATGTCCTCGTATATTGCACTAAAATGGATGCAAAGAATTTACCAATTGTCAAAAATATGTATATTCAAAATTCATGAGGTTAAAGCAGGAAGTTTACTCTCATTTTTATATCTCAGCCTTATACTGCTGATAAAATATTTACACTAAGAATTTCAAACCACTAAATACAATTTCAAGCTGAAACTAATTTGACATTGTCTATACACATTTTTAAGTAAGAAGAACTACTTTGAGGTCATGGTTCCATGTTGTTTCTGGTTTTAATGGCATAGCAACAAACAACGCGACCATCTGAAACAACGGAAAAACATCTCATCATCAACGGAAACAATTAAATGAAAAAAGCAATACGAGAGCAAGAGGGTGATCGGAGAGGGGTGTACCATAACGAAGGCTGCAAAAATCAGGCTGAAACCTTTACAATCAAATGGTGCTTTGTTTGATAGGAACCACTCTGCATGTCCAAAATATAAATCAATAAGCACTTGTATTTAACAACGATTTAGTTGTTGAATTAAACTCAATGTGAATAGAGATGCAAAACTTACGAGTTAATGGTGTCATAATAAGTGGTGATACGAAACCTGCTATTGAATCTACTGCAGCAAGAAAGCCTTGTGCTCTTCCCTGCAGATTCAGAGATATCCTTAAGGCAGTTAGTCACGAAAAATCGATGTTAGTAGTGAATTGTTAAAATCCGTAGTTACTCACCTGATCATTTGAACTTGATGCTCTTGAAATAATAGCACATATCTGAAGATCAAGGAAGCAACATACATTAGACAGAATTCAAAAATATTGATGTAAGTTAAAGGCGTTAAGCACAAGTAACACTTATATCTATAGCTTACTGAAGGTTTGACAAATCCGTATGCCAATCCAAGCGAAACACTAATGTATGGAAGCTGCAGAACAACCAAAATATTACAAAAATATACATTACGAGTCTGATATGAATTATAAAGTCACACAACCATAAGCAAAAGTATTTAGTTGTTTCCAATGTTACGCACCCAAGTTGCCCATGCCAAGCTGTAGAAAAATGCCTGCAAATCAAATTTACAAACATACTGAGATCATAACATTGGTTGAAAGGTGTGATAGTAACAAACCAATCAAAGCAAATATATGGCGGCAATTAGAGCATTGAAAACTTACATAAGTCACGGATGCCAGTAATCCCATGGAAAGTATCGCCTTCTCCCCAGTCAGTGTATTAATTACAGGCACTATCAGCATCTGAAGCCAGAACCAAAAAAAAACACAGGATATCAGCAAAGTTTTTAAGGTGCTATCTAGTGGACATGGAATTGCTCCATTATAGTGCTTCACGCATTTTCTACATATTCTACGTATCAGATACTTTATACTTAGCTAATAGCTCTATGTTTTAAAAAATATTTTCAAATCACAAATTTCACATCTTCTCCCCATACCATAATCCATACATTGTTTTATGTATTGCAGACTGATCTTTATTCATCAGGGAATCTACAACCATTCCGAAAATAACTAGACAATTCTGGTCAAAGCAATTTGTACAAATTTCTTCTATTAGCAAGGATGAACCCAACAGTTAACACATACAAATCACGAAAAGGCAACTGAAGTTATAAAACAAGGAAAAACTTTAGTATACCTGTGAGAAAACTGATCCGACTTGGACAATCATCAACGTTTCTGAAACTTTGCTTCCATTTAAATTCAATGCATCCTTCATATAAAACTGCAAAGGAGGTTATCTACATGTCAAATTATTTTCCCGTGATAACTCTTAAACAAGAAGATAGAACATGATAAGCTACTTGGATAAAGAAAAAAAAAGGCAAAGTTTAATATAATGCTCCGGCAATGCAAAACCAGTCCATGCGATTCAAACAAAACTTCTATATTCTGATTTGAAGTTTGCTATAGGCTGTAGCGTTTCTTAAAGTAGTTAGATTTCATATTAACGAATTACATTCATTCCAAATCAAGCAGCAAGACAAGAAGCCTGCAGCATTTACCAAGACTGCTAATAGTCTAATAGTAGGGAAAACCAGGATTATGAAACATTACTTGTTTAACTTAGAAATGCTAAAACACCATAGTTGTACCAAAATGAAAAAGACCATTTGTACTGAAGAAACATAATACCAATAAGACACTGCTGATGCCAGATATGCCGAACTCATACAAGAAAGAAACCAGATAAATGCCCCTGAGATTAGGTCTGAAACAAAAAAAATGTCGTCAGGATGAAATATAATATTGATAAGGTGTAATGAAATGCTGAATAACCTTCTTTAACCAGCAAACAATAAGAACATACTTGGTAAAAATTACAGCAGCAGCACATTTAATAGAACTGTAACGCTCTCTGATGGACTTAAAAAAGATGGACCAGAGTGACTGCTTTGTCATAGGTGCCCGCCTAGCAGTCTCAGCCACGAATAGTTGAATAAAGAGTGGAGGCATGATCAAGAGAGGAATTGACAGCTGAAAATAATGTATTCTATCAATAAGAGAAACGATAACAACCAAGACAACTCACAGCAAACAGCAACATTATTATAGGTAAAAACATGCCTCAAATATATACTTTCCAGGAATGAACTTTGCTAGCAAACTCCCCAAGATATATGAAGCAGACATTACTCCTGTGATCCAACTGAATGCTGCAACTCTTTTGTCATCCTCAACTACATCTGCCTATCAGAGAGTGATTTTTATTTTTAGTCATTTCCATTCACAAATTCAAAATGACAACTTGAGTAAAATCTTACCGCATAGGCAATAGCAATGCAGAATACACTCCGGAGACTTAGGATGTAGGAAAGACAACGGAGAGCGAAGTATGCATAAATGAATGCCTTGGACTTGCTAATGGCAAGAAGAACTGTATGGAAAAAAAAAAACCAGGAAAGATGTTGAGCAACACAAATCATCAAGGAAAACAGGTCATAATGTTGTACATTTGAGACACTGATTTACAATTTAAGGAAGCTGGTAAAGCGTAAAACTACTAAAACTCCACAATTCATTTACCACAGCAAAAGAGAACACACTACATGCACAAAGGCACCCTATATATGTATCAATGATGTATATCTATTTCAGAGTGTAATTGACCAAAAACAGGATTATATAAAAAACATTTAATTATCTTTCAAGCTAATAGAAGTTCCAACAAATTAAATTAAGAGATAGGCAGAGTGAGATGCTGATAAAATGTCTTACCAACAGGGAATATGGAAGTAGACATAGTCAAAAGGAGAAGTGGTTTCCTTCCATACTCATCCGAAAGCTCACATAATATTGGAAGTACAGGAATCATTAGAAGCCCAGCTAACTGCAAAATGAAATGCTATATCAAAACACAGAAACTACTCTATTCCGAAACTGCTTAAAGAACAGCAGAAACATTGCAAAACCATCCACTCAATATACACCACACGTAGAATCTTACAAGATGACAAGCACACCAATACTCATAGGCGATACAAAATATGGATCATCCTGAGCCTGCTAGGCAGAAATGTTCTCAGAATCAGAATATAAAACCAAGGTTTGACATGATTATTGTGCTCATAAACCTGAATCACCTGATTTCCAAAATCAATCTGTTATCTTCTAGTTCTCAGCCAATTTAGCTAAACAATTCTTTAAGTGATGCTACATGTCATATACGAATATACAGCAAATTCAAGATGCATAAATCTCCTTATTGCGATCATTAGGCATCTAAAAGATTGATATTAACCATTGTGAAGAAAAGTATGTAACACATGTAGTCAGATCAACAACCCCCTCATCCCTCAAAATGAACAAGAGAAAAATAGTCAACAAACAAAGATCAGAATGATAAAACGAGGAAAACAATGAGACAGGATTACAGTTTTTTGAAGACTATTAAGGTAAAGCGCGTAAGAACAGGTAGACTCTTCAGGACACAAAACGCGACTAATCACTTCCATCAGAAATGGACTAGACATTTCATGAGCAATGCCATGAACAAACAGCGCCACCAGCAAATGTGATAAAAGCTTTATATTCCGGAACATTATTAAATCCTTCATGCTTTGCAAACTCTCCATCAATTTACTTTCCATTATATCTCCTTGCTTACAGAAAACTCAGATTGTACAATATCTATCATTCCTTGTGCAATGCGGAGAAGAGGATTTGAGTTGGCAACAAACATACAGATATAGAAACATCATCCAGGTTACTTATTCTGATAAATTCAAACATATAGATAAAATAGTATTACCAACAGAAATGTTCATGTCTTGAAATAATCAAGTAAGTTGACATAGGAATTGTTTCCTATATATTTTACTATAAATTGAATATTAAATATCTTAAAAAACCTAAACTCTTTTAACATGTCTTAAAGACAAACAATTTGGAAATAACTTCTAAATTATAATGTTACTTCATAAATTTTTTTTTTCCTAGCATTTATTCTAAGAATTATAGATAGTGTTGCATATATCTTGACCTCCCTGAACACATTGTACGTAAGCAACAAGATCATCAACAAAGGGCGGTATAGTTGCCTTCGTCGTCTTGATGTTTAATGCTCACACACATTTGAATGGTAAAACAATTACCAAGTCTCATAACACAATTTTTTTTTTTGTATTTTCACGAAATCATTGTGAAAATAATAACATCGTTTTCACTTGCTCATTTTTATATGTTTCTCAATCCCACATCAAAATGGAGGATGTATATACTTGTTTAGATTTCATTCATTCCATTGATATATATAATTTACAATTAAGTGCACCACACAATTATGAAATGTATTACTACAATAAAGAACATTCTAATGCCAAAGACAACAAAAATAACTATTGCCTCTATTGACTATCGCCTAGCCAAGAGCTCTTGTATGCAACGGGTGTATTTTATGATTGATATAAAGGAACCTTCAACTAAGTTACTTCTTCGGTTACGAATTACTCGCAACAAATTGGTATTATTTGTGAGACATAAAATATTCCTTTGTTAGGGGAAGTAATTGACATCTACGTCATTGTCGGCATTAGTGACATTTCACACCATGCAACAAATTTAAAAAGAGATAAATGAAACATAATTATTGATTAAGCCTGTTTACTAGCCAGAGGCAAATGAATCCTCACTAAATTAGACACAACATGTATTTCTGATGAGGCGAAATAAGTGACAAATTATCTTCAAAACCAATAAATCAATAAACAAATAAATAATTCAGGAAAATTCGCATCAATATTTAGGAATATGCTATCATGCATTAAAATTAACCAACCCAGAACACAAACACAAATGGAAGAATTGAGCCTCGAAGACGTGTCATCTACTACATTTCAACCCACCATATAATATATACCCAAATATTATAAATGGAACTAAAATTTGAAATATTAAACATACAAGCATTAAAAACTCCCATACACGTAATTTTTGACAAGCATTCTTAAATTAATACTATATTATTACTCCCTTCGTTTCATATTATAGTGCATGTTTCATACTCAAATACAAAATGTCTCATGTTAAAAAATACAATTACAGTAAATATGAAACTAATTACAATAGAAATAGAAACTGAATAGGACGAGGGTTGTGTAATTAGGTTTCTCATAATTAGGGTTGTACATATCTATATATATTTGATTAATGAGAATACTCCAACCAAGGAGAATTACAATATTCTACATGGTATCAGAGGAACTAATGTATGGGCCAATCTCTACCCATAGCAATGCTCAACACAGTCCAAATAGTAGCCGGCTTCACCATGGACTAAGAGTCTCATCACAATCAACACCAAACTGTTGAGATTTTCCATTGACGACAAGTCTCGCTTTATGCCTCTCCATATCACCATTTTCCATGTATTTGTGCTGTTTAGTAAGAACATTAAATTCCTCACTCATGGCAATATTCCAATTATGGTCAAGCATGGCTAATTTCGGATTTTTTGATAAAGTTGAAATAGTTTGAATTGTAATGTTGGCTTGATATTTTGGGTTAGGCTTGAAGATACCACTCTTGGCATGGGTGGCCATAGAGTGAGTGGGCTGTAGAATTTGCCTTGTATGAGTAATGGGAACTGGGCTGGGCAGGGGGGGTCTGCAGGGGGCTTACAGTTGGAGTGGGAGTGCCGCGGCCCATCTGCGGAGTGGACTAGTGGTCCGTGGGAATTATGGGGGAAAGTGGGGGTGGGATGTGTATGGGTGGGGTATGTGTATGATGGACCTTGACATTGGGCTTGCATGAATGTAATGCAAGTGTTACACGAATCCAAAAACTCATAATCAATTTCTTTAAATTGTTGAAGGTTTGAGAATGGGAATTGTTTTTCAACAAATGTTACGTGACGAGAAATAATTATTTTGTTGGATGATAGATCATTACACAAATAACTCCAATGATTGGCAGGAAATCCCAAGAAAACACATGGTGTAAACCGAGGTGCAGAGCGATGGTAGCAAAGACAACCAAAGACACGATGATGATCATAAGTGGGATACTTACGATATAGAATTTCAGTGAGAGTCTTGTTTTGTATGGTTGTAGTAGGGAGAATATTTAGAATATACGCAACCATATGAATTGCATAAACACAAAAAGATGGAGGAGGGAGGCATGAAAAAGAACTGTTCGAGACGCATTGTTAATAGTGCGAATGATTCTTTCGGCTTTGTCATTTTGGGAAGAAGTGTTTGGGCAAGAAAGACGAAAAACCATGCCATTAGTAGCACAAAATTTTCGAAAGGGGTTATTGTCGAATTCACGACCATTGTCACTTTGAAAAGTTTTAATATCCTTTTCGAATTGTGTTTTAACATATGCTTGAAAATTAATTAGAATGTCATAGACTTGAGATTTATATTTGATAGGAAACACTCAAAGAAAATGAGAGAAATCATCAACTAAAACAAAGTAGTATTTGTGACCCAATTTGCTATAGATAGGAGATGTCCATAAATCCGCATGAATAATATCAAACAGTGAAAAAATGATAGAAGTAGAGGACTTAAAAGGAAGTTGTACATGTTTTCTCAATGGGCATGAATAGAAAAAATGAGAATTATTTCTCTTATTACAATGAATTAAATTGTTTTTTCTAAGAAAATCAAAAACAGGCTTGCCGGGGTGTCCAAGTCTATGATGCCAAATTGAAGGAAAAATTGCAACGAGAGAGAGAAGATTATTGTCTTTGTATCAGAAGAGTTTGAAAAAGGATAGAGGCCCCCCCACACTATTACACCGAGATAGAGTTGTCCCCGAAAGAAGGTCCTTCACAGAAAAACCGAGAAGGTCAAACTTAACAGAAACAAAATTGTCACAAGCAAATTTTCTAACTGAAATTAAATTTTTAATAATATTAGGTAACATATAGGACATTCTTGAGGTGGAAAGGTGGATTGGGTGAGGGAGTTGTAGAATTTCCATAACCATAAATAGGAATTCGTTTCCCATCACCAACTAAAATAAATTGAGGAATGCTCAAATTAAACAGTTTAGAAATATTACCCGAGTCACGAGTCATATGAGATGTCACCCCCGTGTCCATGAACCATCCGTTATCCGGAGGTTGAAGACTCATCGAGCTGTATGCTTGACCGAAATAAGTGGGAGTCATAAGTGGACCGTATCCGGGTGGTGTAGGTCCGGCATAGTAGGCATGATTGTTGGTTGGACGCAGGCCCAACACAGATTGTTGTACACAGTATTGCTGCTGGAACTGATTGTCTGGGCCAGTTGGAAAGGGACAAGGTGGGGAGGCCCAATTTCCTTGTTTTTGATGTTGTTGGGTCCAACCGGACTGATTTCCCCATTGTGGGGCTTGCTGCTGGGCCTCGTTGGATTGTTGTTGCTGCTGATTGTTGTTGCTTCCACGCCTCTTTCCTTTGGTGTTGATGCCTCGACCACGGCCACGGCCCTGCCCACCACTGGCACGCTGTTGGTCAGACGCCGGCTGGTTGGTGGCCTACGAAGTGGCGGACGGCGACTGTGATTGGGCCATAAGGGAATGTTGTCGAGATTCTTCTTGTTCCTTATGCCTAGTTTCCTCCAAGAGGAACATAGATCGAGCTTTGTTGATGACATTGTTCTTACAACTTCTTTAGAACGACTCAAGTGTGATATTAAAAGTGAGTTATTGGAAATTTTTGTAACCAGAACAAAGGAGTCTATGATCCTTTATCAGAGAAAGTATGTAGAGGAAATTATTCATAGGGTAAAGATGGACAATTGCAAATCGGTTGTAACACCCATCAACACTAAGTCAAAACTTGGGGCTCACGATGGTGAGCCAATGAAGAAGGATCCCTCTCTTTACAGGGGTCTTGCTGTTGCCCCCTAGTACCTCATATTCACCAGACCTAACATTGCTTATGTCGTTCAGCAGGTTTGTCTATTCATGCATGCTCCTAAGGAACCTCATTTTAACGCTCTTAAGCATATTATTAGATATATCAAAGGCACTTCAGATCATGGCCTACATTTATATCGTTCTGCTCCTACGAGACTTATTTCTTACACAAATGCCAATTGGGGTGGGTGCCTGGACTCTCGGCGGTCCACTTCAGGATATTGCGTTTATTTGGGTGATAATCTTGTCTCGTGGTCTGCTAAACAACATACTACTTTGTCCAAAACCAATGCCAAAGTAGAATACAGAGGTGTCGCTAATTTTGTTTCTGAACTATGTTGGCTCCGGAATCTACTTCTTGAGTTACATTGCCCTATTCGACGAGCATCCTTGGTTTATTGTGATAATATCTCTGTCGTCTACTTATCTTACAATCCGGTACAACATAACGTACCAAACACATTGAGATGGATATTCATTTTTTACTCGATAAGGTCGCTCTTGGTGAGATCAAGGTATTACATGTTCCATCTTCATATCAGTACGCATATATTTTCACAAAAGGATTACCTCGTCAACTATTTTTAGACTTCAGAGACAGTCTCAACGTCCGACCTACTCCCGCTTCGGCTGCGGGGGTATGATAGATAATAAGTTAATATTATCTTGTTAATATTCTGTAAAGATATATATTGTGTAATTAGGGTTCTCATAATTAGGGTTGTACATACCTATATATATGTGATTAATGATAATACTCCGACCAAGGAGAATTACACTATTCTAAATCGAAGATGGTGGAGATTAGCTGTGAAAAAGGACGTAGAAGATGGTGGCTATGA